ACACACACACACACACACACACACACAGACACACACACACACACACACACACACACACACACACACACAATAATTTAAAATGGATATTCTTTTTTTCAGAAATTTTCATTTAAAGAAAGTTAACATCTGCAGATTCGAATATAAACTGACTTCATTTTTGGGGAATTTTCATTTAAAGAAAGTTAACATCAGCAGATGCGAATAAATAAACTGACACAAATGTAGAAAAATCACTTACTGTATCTAAAGATGGATTTTTGATTTTTCTTAAATAAATGTATTTTAAAAGTAAGACAGGTAAAAGAAATGAACTGAAAATTGCAATTTCCTCAAAACACAAAAAAAATCCTCTCACGATAAATGGTTAAGACGCTTGTCGCACATACTTTTGATCTTGGTTATTTTCATGACCTCGTCTGAGTTTCAAATTTCACGGCGCGTAAATTGTCAGGAAAGTGTTCCATTTTAGTTTTTGACTATTCTTTGCAGTAACATGATAACTAAAGGCTTTTATAATTAAGAAAATGTGTATTCACGGTGGATGGTTGGCGAGTGCTCTGGTGTGGTTTGCTTCTTCTTTCCTATCAAACATCTATCTTCCTTATCTCCCCTCCTTCTTTTTTGTGTTTGTTACTCTCTTGTAGTACCTCTAATCTTCAGCACTTACATGACCTTATTGTGTTGCGAGTGCCGTAAAACTCTTACTAAAACAAACAAGCATATTCACGCTGTACAGCAGGCTCTATGCGCTTCAGAACTTAATTACCCTAGCAGAACGTATTTAAACAACTCAGAAACATTCTTGGCTTTCCCATCGAGAGGCTTACGTTGCAAGCTGAGGATTGCACGCAGAATAACACTAACAAACTAACAAGATCTGTCGCTGTCTATTGCAGGGTAATCATTCCCATCTGAGTGAAGTGAAGAAAGTGGGTGGTAGGTGGGTGCTCTGGTGTGGTTAGTTCCTTCTTTCCTATCAAACATCTATCTTCTTTATCTCCCTTCCTTCTTTTTTGTGTTTGTTACTCTCTTGTAACACCTCTAATCTTCAGTACTTACATGACCTTATTGTGTTGCGAGTGCCGTAAAACACTTACTAAAACAAACAAGCATATTCACGCTGTACAGCAGGCTCTATGCGCTTCAGACCTTTTACTACCCTTGCAGAACTTATTAAAAAACAACAACTCAGAAACATGCTTGGCTTTCCCAGTGAGAACTTTACATTGCAAGCTGAGGATTTCACGCAGAATAACACTAACAAACTAACAAA